CGTCGTTCGTGGTTTTTCAGGACGTCAACAAAATTTATCCCACAGTTCACAGAGCCGTTCATCATCGAGTCCGACACGACGACCGTCGTGTTCGACACGATGACGGTCGAGCGTGGGCATCTACGCCACGTGCTGAACACGACCCCACCGTCGTGTTCAACGCGATGACGGTCGTTGTCATCGTGTCGAACACGACCGCGGTGGCACCCCCCGACCCCACCGTCCTGTTCAACCCGATGACGGTCGCTGTCATCGTGTCCAACACGACCGCAGTGGCACCCCACGACCCCACGGTCGTGTTCGATACGATGACGGTCGAGGGCAGCCATGTACACCACGTGCTGAACACGACCCCACCGTTGTGTTCAACCCGATGACGGTCGCTGTCATTGTGTGGAACATGACCGCGGTGGCACCCCCCGACCCCACCGTCATGTTCAACCCGATGACGGTCGCTGTCATCGTGTTGAACAAAGACCGCAGTGGCACCCCACGACCCCACGGTCGTGTTCAATACGATGACGGTCGAGCGCGGGCATGTACACTGCGTGCTGAACACGACCCCATCGTCGTGTTCGACACGATGACGGTCACTGTCATCGTGTCGAATACGACCGAGGTAGCTACCCACGACCCCACGGTCGTGTTCAATGCGATGAAGGTCGCTTTCGTAGTGTTGAACTCGACCGCGGTGGATCGTCGTCGTGCCTGTGGTCGTGTTCACCACGACGACGGTCGAGCACGGACATGTTCACCACAAAAGCACCGTCGTGTTCAACACACCGGCGGTCGCTCATCATCGTCTTCAACACGACCGCGGTGGCTGTCGTGCAGAGACGGGTATCGAGCCCGACAAGACAACGGTCGAGCGTGGACATGTTGAACATGACCGCTCTGTCGTGAGAATACGGTGACGGTGGCTGTCGCCGTGTGCGCCTGTCGTGTTCAGCAATGCGATGATGCGTCGTCGTGTTCAACACGACCGCGGAGGGAGATAATCGCGTTCAACACGACAGGCAGCCGCTGTGTCTCTCGTGCATCGCTTCTGTTAAAGACTGTTTTTTTTCCGCATTCACGGGCCTGATCTTTTACAACGGCTGTGTGTGGCTAGCGGTGGCCGCGCTGAACCACATGTGTTGCACTCAACATATACCGCATGTGATCCATCTAGCGGCGAATTTGTTACTGATATGCATGTCTTGTGCCAGTGGTCCACTGTTTTGTCATCGCAGAAACGTTTTAAATGGCTTGTGGTGGGCATGCACCACGGCAAGCTGCCAGCACAGCTTTGGAAAGCATGGACTGTGTGGCATCTAATATACTGCCTAATGATGAGTTTCCTCCGCCGGACCTGCCAATGTTTTCGCAAGACGTTCAAATAACCCCAGAATCTCCTGATCATAAAAGGTCCCGCATGGCTGCGTGTGAAGAAACCACATGCGAAAGTGCATCTCCAGCCTTAGGCGGACTAGTGAAAACCTCTGATGCATAAGGTTCGGAAGGTCAGGGTAGGGTCTGCTCCGGTGACAGGAACACATCCGATGCAGATCGTATCATGTGGGTGCCGAGAAGTTCGCTACGAGATTTCAAGTGCACAGGCCTTCTGTTTGGCGAGAGTGATTGTTCGGAATCTGGTGCTTCGATGTCATCTGACGCCAACAGTTCTCCAGACAAAATTGATCATCCACAACCTTGCGATGATGATGGCACTGACCACTACTATCGCAACAATATAAAGAATTATGATGTCATCTCTGATTTTGATGACATTTTCCCAAAACGTTTGTCGTCTGAGAAGCGTCCTTATACTCTATGTGTCAGAATGCAGCGGTCGAAGAAGATTTTGCAAACAGTTCACAAAAAGCTCACCAAAAAAGCATTGGCGAGTGTGCGTGGACAAGTTTGTTGTAAACAAGATTGTTGCGCTCGCATGACCATGGCAGACATCAAAGTTGTCCGGAGTGCATATTACTGTAAGGATCACAAAAGTAGAGATGCATGGTCGGTTGAAACGTTAAAGAGGTTCACCTTCGTGGAAGATGAGAAAGAGATTGTACAACCTATTGTTGGAAAAAGAAAGCTGTGCATTAGTGCATGGTGTTTTACACTGGGTGTGTGCAGGAATACATTTTTGAAAAGAGGGTGACTTTGTCAAAAGATTACATTATGTCGGAGCATGGCAGCACTAGACTCAGACGCACATCTGCAACATATGCGATGATGTTCGGGAAAGTAAGCTCCTTTGTGCGCGACAATGGAGATTCCATGCCCAATGACATGAGGATCAAAGATCGAGAATCAGGAGTGGTTTTGAGATTGCCTGCTTGCTATAACAAGGTTGACATTTATAAGTTGTTGAAGTCACAATTTGACAGCCTGGGTGTCCCTTCTGTTTCTCTCCAAGTTTTCTATAACATTTGAAGAACACACTTCTGGCATGTCAAATTCCATGAAGTTGATCAAAACTTTGCAAAATGCGAGAAGTGTGTTGAGTTCAAATAAACTATCAATTCTCCGAAGTTCGTACGAACGAGAAACACACTTGGACTTGCAGCTCCAGCACAGTGCTGCTTATGAGGTGTGGAAGGATGAGTCGAAGAGACCAGGTTCCAACAGTTTATGCATCATTATTGACGGTATGGACCAAAGCAAGACGAGTATTCCACACTTTGGCGGAGAAAACAAGTCGAAGACATTCGGGAATATTCCAACGATGAAAACAAATTTAACAGCAATTATCGCACACGGCCGTTAACCATCGGTGCATGTTCACACATGATACCCTTGCGATCCACATGATTCCAATGCTGTGGTGTCATCAATTATAAAAGTTCTGCGTGACATACAAGCGACAAGCGACTTACCTCTTAAATTGAGGATACAAGTCGAGAACTGCTGGAGAGAAAACAAAAACAAATACGTTTTGTCTCTGGCCACAGCTTTGGTGAAATTTGGCTTCTTCAAAAAAGTCAAATTCGGTTTTATGTTGGTAGGACATACACATACGGACGTTGATGCCACTTTCAGTCATTTCTCTCGCAAACTGAAAATGCACGATGCTTATACCATGCTCGACCTCTTCAAACTCGTTGCCAGTTCCTAAAAAGAGCGTCCTTGTGCACATTCATGGATGAAATTGATGACTGACGAGGAACTGTTAAGCCCTTCCTGGTCAACAAACTGACCGGTCATACTAAGCCACATTTATTTAGGTTTTATATAGAGGATGACAATCCTGCGTTCCAGTGGAAAGAGTATTGCACTTCTCCGCATTGGTCTTCTCCGGTCTATTGCTTTAAACGAGATGAAAATAAAGCATATGCTGGACCCGAATGACCATTCCAGCCTTCACCTGTTCTCCCGTCACTTATTCGACCTGTTAAAGAAACATCACATGGTCAACCCGCTAAGGATAAGAATTTGGATTTCAAATAAGGAATTGAAGGCGTGAAGACGTTTGTTGAGTGGTTGCAAAACAAGCGGCACGAGTGGTTGGGAATGAAAGATGAGGTTAGTTTCTCAAAGGAGACTTCTCTTTCACATTCGAAAACTTTCTTGGACACTATCGAGCAAAATTATGGGTCTGGCTTTCCGAAACCATCACTCAAGGCTGACTTTTGACCCTCGCGGGAAAAAATTATGAAGGACGATGCTGAGGATCAATATATTGCCTTCCTCTTGGAGAGCAATGAGAATAAGGAGTCGTTGTTCGCCGGGCCAACCAACGAGCGTCGAAAAGCAGAGCTCGACCCGGTTGTGGATATCGAAAAGGGTCCATTCGTTCTCTTGCGTCCTTCGCAAGATGATATCGATCAGGGAGTTCCCGTGTGGATGGATAGAGTCATTTCTAATATTAGTAACGATAGGAAGTCGTCTGCTTTCAATCATGTTCTTATTGAATATTGGGTGTCACAACCTTTCGTCAAAAGTCTTTCTCTGCAATATGCAAATGCATGGAAGAAGATATGGAAGAAAGACAGCACAACAGCACAGCAGTGGCAGCACGTGGACTGTGTTTTGTGGAGCTGGACATCAAGGACGTTGCATTTGGAAAATGGAGTGCACATTCCCAAATCGGTCAGAGAGAAAGCCTTGGCATGTCTTTCACTTCCCGATGATGAAGACCAATAGGATAAGTCGCTGAGAAGGCCTCATTTCATGCGTGTTGGTGTACCATTTACTTGTCATTGATCTTTCATTCATATATAGTTAAACTATATTGCATTGGCTTGCCTTTTACTTCCTGATGATGAAGATTAGTACACTTTAAGTACGTTGTTGAGAATAGGTAATCATATTTCATTCGAGCGTATTGCTGTATCAATTAGTTGTCATTGAGCTTCTGTATTTCATGTGTTGCAGAATGGTTCACTCAACGACTGGATGGCCGCCAAGCAATATGGTGTGGGGAAAAAATGTATGGCATGATATGGGGTCTATCTTTTTCACACCTGAAGTGGTTTTCGATGGTGCAGTACTCAGTGTCAGAGGTGTGGATGTCGCACCGGATTGCTGGGAGAATTATCCTCGACAATGTTTGTATATTTCTGGTCGTAGGTATTGTGGAACAAGAGAATATCCGCGATAAGCGTTCGCACCGTATTCAGAATTGTACTATTCAGCAGTGAAGTTCTACCACAATGACTTCAAGGTGATGACCTTGTACTGTGCAGCGTCAAGTATCCAAGGGCGTTGCAAACTTTCTTTTCTTATTCATAACGATCATTCTACAAGTGCAACCATATCCAATGCACATGACATCGACAGACGAAGACGGGAAGCATTTTGAAGGAGGATCATGGACCAACCGTCGCTCAAAGCACTCGTGGATGGGCTCGTGGACACAGCGATTATATATGTACGAAGTCTTCTGCTGCGAGAGTATGAAGTCATAGAAACTTACGTAGAGTACAAGGACCCCACGTTCGATGAGCACAATGAGACGAACATTATAGAAGATTGGACAATTTACATGAGGAGAGCGTGAAATTTATCACTCAAATTGTATTAATATGTCCCTTACCTACTAGATCTGATTCAAGTCGATAGCCTTAGAATATCGTTTTCAAGTGTTATCTGGCAGTGTCTAGAAGTCGATTTCAATTATAGTCAACTTTGACGAAGATTTTGACAATGTGTTATTTTAAGAGTTCATAGACGCACCATTGAGCTGATGTAAGTGACACTTCTTTGCTTTTAATATAATTGCCAATGGACTTTTGCATTAAATTTTCCTTCCACGGTCTCCATATGAAGGGTGTTGTTATAGTTTGAAGCAACTTAAGGTCTTGGACTTTGGAGAGCTGCTCTTTGTTTGAATGTGTCAAGGGTTTTACAAATTTCGCAATTCTTTCCTTCGCATATGATGTTTTTTTTTTCGTTTGTATTCTAATCATTTCAACATTTCTCTGCTCCAGGTTTAC